CGCTGGCCGGGGGGGGGGAGGGGATGTCTGGGGTCCCGTCGTCTTTCCCATTGACGATTGCCAACATCCCCCCCCAAGCCCCTTTCCTCCTCCTCCTCCTCCTCCTCCTTGGGAAAACTCCCCCTCTGCATTGCACCCCCACAGGGTACCTGGGTTGGCCATCCCTGCGGGCGCCTGGGTGAGGGTCTCCATGCCAGGATTTGCAGTAGGGTGAGCGGGGGGCAATCCAGGGGTGAGGCAATGCCAGCAGCACCCCAAAAAGGAGGTGAGTGCCTCTGCATCCCTGCATGAGGGAGCAGCCTCCAGCTCTTGGTGCTCCTCTCCTTGGGCATGCGGGGAGGTCTCTGGAGCAGTGGGGATGCTGTGGGGATATTTGGGAGCTCCACCAGCAGAGCAGAAGGCAGCAAATACATGAGTTTATCGTCCAAGGCTCGTGCAGCTGGAAACCCAATGGCATAATACTAACGAGACAAATCGCTGCCTCGTTTGTCTCCATTAAGTGCAATTACCCCTTAGATACCAAAACAATTTATTATCACTTCTTCCAAGCTCGCAGCGGTGACAGGCGATCACACACACAAGGCAGGAGAAGGGGACCAGTGCTGCCTGGCCATCGGTTGCCCCACACCATGGGGCCCGGGCACCCCAGGGTGCCTCTGGATGGCACTGGTGGCACAGCTGCAATGCTGCAAAGCAGCCCCAAACGGGGAGCGAAGGGAAACTGCAGAGGGAAGCGTTCCTATGGCTGGGCCGGCCGGAGAGGTCCCCCCCGCCAGCATGGTACCCCTCGCCCCTCCAGAAACCCTCTGGCCCCAGAAACCCTCTGGCCCGTTTCTGGCTTTCCCCGCTGAGCTCCCAGTCTCTGCCCTCCCTGCGTGCAGCGGGCACCAGCCTCCGCGTGCCCCCACGCCAGCCCCACGCCATGCGGCCTGCCCGGGCCCCCACCGCCCCTGTCAGTCTGTCTTATCCCGCTCTCAATAGCGGACTGGGAGCCCAGCTGCAGCTATTACATAAAATGCAATTAGCAACGGGGGCGAGGGAGGCCTGAATGGCATTAAGGAATTCCTCCCGGGCTGACGTCAAAGCTTCACCTCTCCTCCTGCCACCCACACAAAGGGGGCCGTTATGAGCCCCCCCTGCCCTGCTGTGCCCGTGCCCACTGGGAGAATGCGAGTCCTCAGGGAGCCCTGGGCTGCACATGCCATGCGGGAATTGTCCCTGCGACCAGCACGGATGTCACCGGCAGCTCCCTGGCTCCCTGCACAGGATTTTTCTGGCTCCCACCTCCCCCTTGCCAGGCATGGGAAGATGCCGGCAGGCCCTGTCTGCCAGCTGC